CTCTGGTTCACCACTAATGAAGACAGCTAGCTGCAAGGTTGGCTATGTTTGTTGTCATTGCTGGGTTTCATCAAAAGGAAGCAAACGTGGGACCATAAATGCTCACTGAGAATAGCCAGTTGTATTTGTGACTTGTAAAGTGATTCACTGCATTAAATGTGTAATGCAAGCTTGTACTCATTTCTTAGGCAGCTGTCAAAACACATACATTTTGCACAACTCAGCCTCAGAGATTTTGAATCCCCAACCCAGGTTGGTTGATGGATCTTCAATAACAAGGGCTATCCCCTACAAACATGGCTGATGATGTCCATGAGGTATCTCCAGAGTGAGGCAGGGGACTGCTGCAATTGAGCTCAGACCTCCACTATAGCTGCCACAGAGCACACCACTGGGCTTCTTAAACTCCTTCACTGCCTTGACCAGTCTGATGACCTCTGTGAATCAGAGGGAGTCACAAATAGTAGTACTGGGAACTGAAATCCCTGGCAACAGGATTGCAAGAGGATCAGCCTTTTTTAAATGAGGAGGGTTTGCTGTGGATGAGGAGGAACCTATTGTTAAAGTAAGGGCCACGGAGAGACATACTCGACATTCCTGACCAATCTGACTTCCATAACAAGAATGCATTTATGTGATTTTTTTCTGACCTGTGATGTAGAATTCTCCCTGCCATCTTCTCTTGTATCTTTAAAGTACTTCTTTACCATTCTATGGGGAGCTGAGTGTGTCACTGACATAGTCAGTAATGAGTGTAAGTTCCAAAAATGACTTGGAAGATATGTACACTGCTCCTCCATGTGACAGCTGCCATGGCCAAAACAAAATTGTTCAATTGCTTTGAATAAAACTACATCTGTCTCATTTTTATAAATGTTGAGATTAGGCCAATTGCGTTGAGTGTGCATAAAAGGTGGCGAGGAGGTGGAGGGGTGAGAGAGTGGTAAAAGGAGGCACAGGACTGATTAGGAATCAAAAGAGAAAGGCAAGGGAAATGGAGCTACTAAGTATTTTGCCTTTGTCCTTATCAGGGAAAAAGATGCTGCCAAAACGATGGTCAAAAGGAAAAAGTTGAATTACTGGATAGGTTTGAAAGTGATCAAGTGGAGAGATCAGAAAGGCGAACCATACTTAAAGTCAATAAGTAAGCAAGACCAAAGAATACTGTGATAAATAAGGATGGCAATTGCAAAGATACTGGCCGTAATCTTCCAGTGATTTCTTAGATACTGGGGTTGTGCCAGAGAAATGCAATTGTGAACTGGGCAAAATAGGGTGTAAGGATAAACACAACAATTACATTTCTGAAGAAGGGTCTAGGCCCGAAACGTCAGCCTTCCTGCTCCTCTGATGCTGCTTGGCCTGCTGTGTTCATCCAGCTCTACACCTTGTTATCTCAGATTCTCCAGCATCTGCAGTTCCTACTATCTCTGAAACAATTACAGGCCTGTCAGGTTATTCTTGGTGTTTGGGAAGTTTTAAAGATAAAATAATGGTATCAACTATCAGTCACCTGTCAACTCTATATTAATGAAGGAAAACCAGCGATGATTTATTGAAGAGAAATCAGTTTACTTAACTTGATTGTGTTTTTTGGTGAGGTAACAGAGAGACTCAATGATGGTAATGTGGTGTATACAAAATGTCATGAAACTGATTTGTCAGCAAAGTTGAAGCTCCTGGAATAACAAGTGAAATGTCAACATGATTATGAATTTGGCTAATTGGGAGAAAACAGAGTGGAGAACAATTGATTTTTACACTGGAGGGCGATATACGTTGAGATTCCCCAGTACTGGGACGATTGCTTGAATGCATTGACTCGTATCCTTAGGGCAGATTTGCAGAATGCACATAACCTGGAAGTGTTGGAAACTATGAGGTGGACAGTGATAGATTCCAAGAAGGTAAAGATTGACTGATGGAATGAAAGAACACAAGCAGATGCAAATCAATGTAGGGAAATGTGAGGTCTTCTGTCATTTGGATAGATTTGATAAACTGGAGTTGTCCTCCTCAGAGAAGATTGAGAGGAGATTTGAAAGGAGTATTCAAATTCACAAAGGATCAAGATAAAGAAGAAACTGTTCTCATTGGTGGAAGGGGTGAGAGGTTTTTATTTTAAATGCTTTCCAAAAGATACAAATGTAATCTAGGTAGAAACTTTTAATGCAGTGTGTGGTTAGGACCTGGAATGTACTATTTAAAAATGAACTGGAAGCAGATTCAATTGACTTTTCAAAAGATGGTTAGATAAGCACCTGAAGAGGAACAAGAAGGATGATGTACAGATTGAGGAAATAGCAGGTGAGTGGGATTATCTGAGTTTCTCTTGCAAAGAGCCATAATAGACATGATAGGGTGAATTGCCTCTGTCTGTGCTGTAACCGTTCTGTTGTATATTAAGTATTCATGTTTGAACTCTCAGTCAGTAAATCAATGCTATTTTTTCCATTTTTTGTGATGCTACTTCAGCGTGATACTTTTTGGCATGACAGCTGATTTAGTTTCCAACATTCTGAGTACATCTGGGCCTTATTTTGAGAGGATTCTCATTTACAAGATCCTATTTCAGGAAACTCCCAAAATGCCAACATTCTATTAGACTTGTGAAGTCTCAAAGGATACAATGAAGCAACTGTTGTTTTCTAAGCTATAAGTCCTCTCATTGGTTTTGTACTCCAAACTTGTTTTCATGCCTATTCAATCTTTTAGAAGCCACAACGCACATTAAAGGCAATGCAAGAATGACAAACCTCTAAAGATCTATGTTGAATTGCTCATAATGAGCTTCCTGTAAAATGGCATCAAATGGTCTTTTTCCCCATGGAAGTAACAGACCTCATTGGCTGAACACCAGTTAGCTGAAAATGACATGTTATTTATTTCATTAGCTGGAGTAAAGCATATTGATAACTTGGTTTTTGTGTAGATGTACACACTGTAACTTTCAAAAGTGCAATAATAGCTTATAAAAACTTATAAAATAATATATGGGACTTAGTTAAAATGAATAATAATTAACTTATCCTCACTTGCAATGCATGTTAAATGATCAGAACATATTCAAGTAGCTGATTCTCCTTTACTGAGATTCACTTAAAGTGCTCAATAGTAGCATCTTTACATCAGTGGAATAGTCAAGATAATGTTCCCAAACTTAAGCATGTCATGACATAGTCCTATGTGCATATTTTTTAACAGATCACTGTGTGTAGGCAGACTAATTAGCTGTAAGACTAAAGGTGTTGGCTTGTTTTTTTTTTCTTTCTCATTTCTGCCAGATTGTCAAAATGACAGAGCTCCGATAACCTCTTAAAATCTTGCTCAAAAGATGCCGTCGCTGCCTGACAAACAATAAATTCTAATGAATGTACTAGCAGTTGGCAAGAAACAACTTGGGTTAGGTTTCCACTCATTGAAAGTTAAAAAGAATAAACAATTAGTTTTAAAATTGTACTTTCAAGCTACATTTGCTTGTGTTTGCACATTATAATTTCAAAATCGCATTTAGGCAATTTCTTTCCTACCTCGTGATTTTATTTCCTCTGTAAAATGAAGGAGTTACCATGGCTATGTTCAATCTCTGCCAATGCTAGTTTGTGGTTAGCCATGTGGAAATGACAAAGAGCAACTCAGGAAAGCATTCAATTGTTAAATGGAAATGCACAGTCCTCACTTGAGCAACATTGCATAAAGTTACATGTATGAATGTAACCTCATCCTGTAGAAAATGACAGACTGAATTGCATCATACCACACTTTTACAACAGGCTAAAGTTGCAGAACAATTAACAAATGAGTAACTTTAATTATTGTATGGTCATAATGAGATTTGAAAGAGAGACGGAATGATAAGATTATGTAGAACATAGCGCAGAACAGCACAGGAACAGGCCCTTCGATCTGACCATTATGCCGTTCTAACTTAAGCCCCTCTGCCTGCTGATGGTTCACATCCCATTATTCCCTGTCTGTTCATGTGTCTATCTAAATGCCTCTGATGTATTGCTATTGTATCTGTTTCTACCACCTCCCCTTGCAGAGTGTTCCAGGCACCTACCACTCTCTGTGTAAAGATTTGCCTCGCACATCTCCTTTGAACTTACTCCCTCTCACTTTAATCTATGCTCCCTAGTATTTCCACCTAAGGAAAAAGACTACAACTATCCACCCTATCCAGGCCTCTCAGAATTTTATGTACATCTATCAGGTCACCCCTCAGCCTCCACGCTCTAGCAAAAAACAATCCAAGCTTATCCAACCTCTCCTTATAGCTAATACACTCCAATCCAGGCAGCATCTTGGTGCAGGTAGTTCTCCTGTAACATGACAGTTGCATTCTGTGTAACCTCGTGCTATAGAAAATCACGCTATAAAGAAATGGCCATAGAAAATAGTGTTATAGGGAAATTGCCAGAGAAAACCACTATACCTGTACTATAGAAAGTTCGCATTAGCCGAACAGTGTCCACTATTCATCAATCATATTACACCCAATTCACGATAACGAAACACGCATTATAGCAGAACTACCTTTTAAATGTTTTTTGCACCCTCTTCAAAGCCTCACATCCTTTCTATAGTGTGGCAGTCAGAACTGCACACAATACTCCAAATGTGGCCTAACTAAAGTTTTAAGCAGCTGCAATATGACTTGCCAACTTTTATACTCAATACCCTGACAGATGAAAGGCAAGCATGACGTTATGCCTTCCTTACCACCTTATCCACGTGTGTCACCACTTTCAGGGAGCTATGGACTCGGACCCCGGGATTCCTCTGTATATCAATGCTCCTATGGGTCCTGCATTTGACTTCCCAAAATGCATCACATCACACTTGTCCGGATTGAACTCCATCTGCCAATTCTCCACTCAACTTTCCAACAAATCTATATCCTGCTGTATCTTCTGTCAACCTTCCTCACCATCCACAGCTTCACCAATTTTTGTGTCATCTGCAAGTTTCCTAATCAGACTAAAATTGTGTCTTTTCAGTTAAAAAAGTGGAAGCCATGACCATGCCTTACGGAAGGCCCAGAGTTTTACAGAAGAAAAGCACATACTGCATCTTGTCCCAGGCATCTTACGTGACTGGATATAGTGCTGACATTTTAATGCCCTTATGGAGTGCATACAGTATTTCGAAATTGGTAAGTTTGTTTCTTCCAGGAACCTTCTCACTCGAATACTGCTGCTCAGGGACAGATAATGCATCAGGTTACAACAATAAGGTTTAGTGCATAAGTCAGGGCGTCTTAAAGTGGGTGTTAGGACCCTAGCAGGGTTAATAGCTAAAATTTTGGGACCACAAGGTCTGGGGCAGCAATGGCTGCCATAGAGCTCTGACCAAGTTATAACCATTGTGCTGGCTCCCTCACAGGACCCTGTTGTCATTTCATTTTTATCTTTATTCATTCATGGGATGAGGGCATCGCTGGCTAGTCAGCATTTATTGCCTATCCCTAATTGACCAGAGGGCTGTTAAGAGGCAACCATATCAAAGATTAATGAAGAAAGTAAGAGCTTGTGATATTGAAAGTAGCTTGCAGAAAACAGAGCACACATCAAAGGATCCTAGTCTGACTGTCAGGATATTGCCAGTTCTGCAGGGATGTGTGCTGGACCCACAAGCTTTTACATCAGTTACACAGATGAAGAGAGTGAAGGCATGGCAAGTAAATTTGTAGATAACACAGAAATAGTTAGGCAAGTATGTTGTAAGGAATACATAGGGAGTTTGCAGACCGATATGGATAGGTTGAGTGAATGGGCAAAAGTTTGGCAGATGGAGTACAACACAGGAAAATATGAAATTTTTCCATTTGGCAAGAAGAATACAAGAAGTAGAGTTTTAAATGGAGAATTGCTATAAATTTCCAAGCTGCAAAGGAATTTAGGTATTAGATGTGTGAGTCACAAGAAGTTAGTATGGAGGTGAAGCAGTAGTCAAGAAAGCAATGAGATGCCATACTTTCTTACAAGAGGAATTGAACATAAAAGTAAGGAGGTTATGGGTCTCTCATAGAGAGCATTGTTGAGGTCACATTTCGAATACTGTGTGCAATTTCAGTCTTTATTTTTAATGAAGTTTGTAAATATGTTTGGAGGCAGTTCAGAGGAGGTTTACGAGAGTGGATTATCTTATGAGGATGGCTTGGACAGACTGGGCTTGTTTCCATTGGAGGTTGGAAGATTGAGGGGTAACTTATTTGAAATGCACAAGATCCTGAATGGTTTTAACATGGCAGACCTGGAAAGGATGTTTCCTCTGGTTAGTCAGTCCAAGACAAGGAGGCATTTTTAAAATTAGGCCCTTTTAGGACAAGGATGAGGGGTCATAGGTTCAAATCTAGTCCAGAAAAATGATATAAATAAAATAGCTATAAAAATGATGTAAGACTAACTGCAGTCAAACAGAGGAAATAATGAATCAATTGGCCAGGAAAACAAGGTTATAGAGGGAGTGACGGAGGACAGGTTGGGTGAATCTAAATAAGAGGCAAACACTAAGATGTGCACTGTATGCAAATAAATAATTACTAAAAAATTGACCTTGTTAAAAGCTCACTTGACCTCAATATTACCCTGCCAATCCCAGAACATAAATAGCATAGGCAGGCTGCAGAGAATGGGTCACCTGTGTTTTTTAAAAGTGTTTAAAACTGCAGAACGAAAAGGGTCCCTATCTTTGGAGGGTCACTATGTCCATTGGGAGCACCCCTTGAGTATATACTTCCAACTCAGCGGTACTGAAAAAGCCCATTGCACCCCAGCTGCTATTGCATCTTCATTTTTTTTAAATTCAAAAATATATTTTATTCATAAAATATCTTTATGTACATACATAATCACTAAAGCAATTCAGTTCTGTACAGCAGCATATGAAGAAACACACAAACGTTGCAGTTTGACTCTATATAATTAACGGTTTGTAGAAGATTATATTTACATATATTTATGGCATTGGGAGGGTCCGATAACTGGACAGATCCTCATTTAACTTCAGTAGAAAGACCTTACACTGTGGTCTTTCCCCAGTGAGCCTTGGTGGCAGCTGCCCCAAGCTTTAGTGCATCCTTCAGCACGTAATCTTGGAATGTGCCAGTCTGCAGCACTCAGTCAAGGTCAATGCCTTGCTCTGGAAGACCAACAAGTTTCGGGCAGACTGAAGCATGTCTTTCACAGAGTTGATGGTCCTCCAGGCACAGTCGATGTTTGTCTCGTTGTGTGTTCCAGGGAACAGTCTGTAGAGCACGGAGTCCTGTGTCACGGAGTTGCTCAGGACAAACCTCGACTAAAGCTACTGCATCTTTCTCCAGACTTCCTTTCCAAAGGCACATTCCAGCAGATGATGTGTGATCGTCTCTACCCACCATCCCCCAATGCCACCGCCCCCACCCTCAGCTGCTTTGAGGCCATCGTGCAGTGGAGCAGGCTGACTGGGTGTACGTGAAGGATCTCACAGGTAGTGCCCTTCTCACCACAACACAAGTCTTGGTGCTTGTTGGGAAGTTCTGGTGATGATGCATTTTGCCAAATGACTTTGACAAGCTGCTCAGGAAACAACATGACAGGATCCACCCTCTCCTTTTCCTGCTGGGTCCTGAGGACTCTACATGCGGATCACTTCCTGATGGACTTGTGGTCAAATGGTGTTTTTCTTTGCAAATTTCTCCACAAAGGACAGGTGATATGGGACAGTCCAATCACTTGGAGTGTTCCATAGCAACAAGGCCAGTTCCATCCCATTATGTCTGTGTCATACAGTCTCATGTCATACAGTCTGGCAGAAAGGAATTTGCTGATCCTCAGGATGTCAGACTGAGATGGTGTTACTGCTTCCTTCAGGCTGCTGAGCACAGAGCTCTCCCTGTGCACCTTCTGGAAAAAGAAATGTGAGCATGTCTCATCTTGCTGCTTGGTGTGAACCTTGGACCGGAAAATCATCTTGGAAGTCTCCAAGGCAAGGAGCAAAGATGGCTGACTCTTCACTTCCTCAAGGTCCTCCATGACATTGGCCCCCATTGTCTGCAGCAGGAGTAGGTTCTGCTTGCTTTTCTGGAGTTTGGACAGTTTACCTCATCTCTCTCTTGTGTTCTGAACACCTTTTGAGGATAAAGATCTTCTTGATGTTCCCCTTGACTGCTTCCCACCAATCCGATGGAAACTCAAAGAGGGGCTTCATGGTTCTCCAACTTGGGAAATCCCTTTTGAGCTCCTCGCTGTTTTCTGGGCTCAACAGTTCCACGTTCAGCTTCCACGTTCCTTTACCGGCCCACTGGTCATCCTGTAGGTGACAGTTGGCCAGCAGAAGGCAACAGTCAGAGAAGAACACCGGCTTGATGTCGGTGGATCTGACTGAGAATATGCAGGACACAAACAGGAAAACTATCCCTGAGCAGATTGACCCGTCTGGCCACAACCAGGTAAAGCTACACTGCACTCCATATGCAGGGGTGCTGAAGATGTCATGCAGCTTTAACCATTTCCATCACGAATCTGGACATGGTGTCCTGTTTGCTGTCAGCCCCTCCAGATCGCCCATCCACATCGATGATGCTGTTGAAGTCTCTGGCCAGAATGACCAGCCTGCACATTGCCAACAACAGTGGCAGCTGCTGCAGGATGGCCAGTCGCTCACTCTTTACCACCGGGGCATTAACGTTTAATCAGTCTCAGGGGAGCATTTCTGTACGTAATGTCTGCTACAAGGAGGCTCTCACGCACCCACCACCTCCATAATCTTGGAGATGGTGAAGTTGCACCATTGCAGCTGAATACCCAGGCTGAAAGAACCGCCATCATCACCCAGACCAAATCAACGGCCCATAGCTTCATTAGCTCAACTGTTTCCTGTAGCTGCTGAAGCGTGGTACCCCACACTCCTGCAGAAGCAGGAGGTTTGCTTTGACGTTGGCCAGGTTTGCCAATATTGAGACACATCTTGCAGTAGATTTAGTGATACACATGTTAATACGGGCAATTTTAAATCCCATTTTAAGAGTTTATAGAATTACCCGTTGTCCATTCACCCATGGTCTTGTTATTGGCAGACACCCTGCATCCCCGTGGTGTGGGACATCCCTAAGCTGTTGGACACTCTCTGCACTGAGGTAGCTGTCCTGTCCCTCCCTGGGGGTTGTCCTGATCCGGTGTTGTCGGGTCAAGGACAAAGCCAGGAAGGTCCAGTTCTGAGTCCAAATGAGGGACTGTCATGTGCAACTCTTTATTCGGAGCGTCGCTGCTCCCGGTTGCATGGAGCTGTAATGTAGTACGTACCCCGTGGTGCCTGATGGCTGGAAATGGAGATTCACCGGGCCCCTAGGGATATCTGGTGTTTCTGGGTTGTCGGGGTTGGGGGGGTGCTCCTCTCCTTCACCGGGCCCCTCACAATATCTGGTGTTACCGGGTTGGGGGGCGCTGGTGAAGTGCTCCTCTCCTTCTCCCCTGTGGTGCTCTGCCTGTTTTATTGTTGGTGGCTATCCCTCTGCAAATCTTTGTCGTCAGAGGAGCTGTTAGTGGAGCCATCGTGCATCTGCCTCTGTCTGTTTTGCTGTGGGGCTTTGGGGGCCTGACATGTTTCCCTGTTCTGGTTGTTTCTCTCTGGTATCCACTCCCCCGCGTCCTTCATTTCCTCCTCCTCCATTGACCCTGTTCACTTGGGGATTGGTTCGGTTGTTCTGTCCCGCCACTGGCTACGTTTTGCTCCTCGCTGGCACATCCCTCCTTCTGGGTGCCACTTGTAACAATTTACTTTTGGCAGGGAGATGGGGGGGGGTGTTGGTGGTACCTTACTGACCTTTTGGGGGACCCTGGCTTGTGTTGCCACTTCCAGCTATCCGAGCGTATGTGGCACCACTCCCCCTCCCCATGCCACCAAGGCCTGCTTCCCCATTCAGGCTGCAACTCTTGGACTCCTTAGCCAGGTGGCCCTCTTGTTTGTAGTGCCTGCAGAGGGTCACTTTCCAATCCACTGCCATATGCCCTGACCTCCCGGAGGTTTGGCACCCTAGGCTGCCCCACGTACTCAGGTAGCCTCGGCTTCCTCCGATTGCAAAGCTGGAGTGCGGGTGGAGGATGTTCCCACTAGCGTCCAACTTCAGGGTCACCTTGACCTGCCGTTTGCTGGTCCAGATTCCGAAGGGGTTCA